GGGTTTTCCCAGCATGGTCTTGATCCCTTTGTTCATCACTCCTCCCTCTCTGAAACTGGATTCCAGGAGTTTGGTTCAGGGCTTGGCTGTGGATCTCTGCTTCTGCTTCCATAAGCTACAGGATGAAGGCTCTAGGATGGCATTTAAGGTAGTCATCATTCTCATTATAGGGGATAGACATTTAAGGCAGCCTCTCCACTATTGCTTAGTGTCCTAGTTGAGGTTATTCTTGTGGATCTCTGTATAATTCCCTAGTGCCAGGTTTCTCTTTAAACCTATAGTGGCTTCCTCTATTGGTCTGTCTCTTTTCTTGCTCTCCTCTATTCCTCTCCCCACGCAATCTTCCTGATCCCTCATGTTCTCCTCCCCACTCCTCTTCTCCCCTCCAGTTTCTCCTCCCTCCTTCCCACTCCCCCCACATACCCCATTTATTCATGGGATATTGTCCATTTATACTTCACTGGAGGACTGTGTATGTCTCTCTTATGGTCCTCCTTGCTTCCTAGCTTCTCTGGAGGTGTGGATTGTAGGCTGGTTGTTATCTTTTTCACTATGTCTGGAATCCATATATGAGTGAGCACATGTCATGTTTGTATTTCTGTGACTGAGTTAGCTCACTTAGGATGGTTTCTTCTAGTTCCATCCATTTGCCTGCAAATTTCAAGATTCCATTGTTTATTCTGCTGGGTAGTATGCCATTGGGTAAACGTACAACTTTTTCTCTATCCATTCTTCTGTTGAGGGGCATCTAGGTTGCTTCCGGGTTCCGACTATTACAAATAATGCTTCTATGAACATGAATGAGCAGATGTCCTTGTTGTATGAATGTGTATCCTTTGGGTGTATGCCTAACAGTGGAATTGCTGGATCTTGAGGTAGACGGGTTCCCATTTTTCAGAAAAACCATCATACTGATTTCCAAAGTGGTTGTAAAAGTTTGCAATCCCACCACAATGGAGAAGTGTTCCCCTTTCTCCACATCCTCTCCAGTATACACTATCATTGGTGGTTTTGACTTTAGCCATTCTGACAGGTGTAAGAGATATCTCAGAGTTGTTTTGATTAGCATTTCCCTGATGGCTAAGGAATTTGAGCACTTGGTTAAGTGTCTTTCAGCAATTTTAGATTCCTCTACTGAAGATATTATTTCCCACATACTGTTTCAGGTCACAACACTTTTTTTCTCAAGGATGCATAGACAGTCATGTTACACAGTTTTTCTGTTGCTATAACACAAGGTCTGATTAAAACTTCCTCTATGTCCTTCAGCCTCACAAGCAAGATTGTGAGGGGTACACTATTTTATTTTTTATTAGAAAGCTTTCCTATTAAAACCTGTAGGTAGAGTACTTTTTGGTTATCATAATCTCTGATAATGAATCTCATTTTATAAAACAAAACTGTGTATTGAAAGACACTTTCTGGAGGTCATAGATGAGAAATACACTCTGAATGAATGTTTCCTATCTGGAGCACCTACTCCCTGACACTGAATCTGCTTCCAAATAACCACACAGAGGCTTAATATTACTTATAAATGCTCAACCAAAAATTCAGACTTATTATTAACTAGCTCTTTCATTTTAAGCTAACACATATTCTTTATGCTCAGTCATGTGAGTCCATTCTCAGTATGGAATGCTCATCTTGCTCTCTCTATGTCTTACAGGCATTTTCTGACTCCACCCTTCCTATTCCCAGCATTCCTAGTCTGATTGTCCTGCCTAAACTTCTTGCCTGGCTACTGGCCAATCAGGGTTTCATCAAACCAACTCAAGTGACAGATTTTTACAGTGTACAAGAGGATTATTCCACAGCAACACACCTCATCTCTTCTACCTTATTCTCCTTGTCTCATGGCTTCCCAATCTTTTAATTCAAGGAAAAACATGTTAGCACAAACCTACTTAATCCTCTTTTTGAGAATAGCTGTACGAGGGGAAAAGCTAAAGAGACATGGCATCCTTTTCTCCAAAGCATAGGATTCTATGGAGGTAGGCACACATGTGTCTCTTTCTCATTATAACTTTTCCACTGTATGAGTCTGTCCTTCCTGGGCATGAAGAAGAACCCTTGCGTCATATCTTACCACACCCAGCCAGTGTGCATATGCAACTTTTAGGGACTATGGTATAACCCCTTGATTATCAGCAAATTGGGAGTATCCCTGACAAAAAAGCACCTCATTCCACACATGTTGGAGGAAGACAAGAACCCTGGATTTGATCTAATAATGGTCCACTCTAAAATTTCTATCCCTGGTTACATAGTTGATCACTTAGTGCATACAATTGTCACTGTATTTAGTAGGTATACTATTTCATGTAACTCAGGCTCATGTAGTTATAGTAAGACTAACATAGTGAATACTAGCCTTACAGCAAGACCAGCATCCCTGTCAAGTATTATCCATCATAGGTGCTATGCACCTGCTTCCACACAATTTACATTTCATTCTCAAAATCCATGTTATGACACCATTGTATTATGTGATTATTTTCTAGGGATTCCTGAAAAACTTCTATTCAACATAGAGACAGAACTGAAGAAATGTAACAGAAATAATTACACCATATTCTAGATTCTTAAATCCATGAGCTTCCTGTAGCTGCATTGAAAACCACAGGTGTATGTTATCTTCTCTCATTGCTACTGTCACTTGCAGGGCACTCCTTTAGAGCATTATGTTTCCTGTGTGGACAATTTTTTTGCAAAAAAATATACCTTTAATTGTAAATACAAACCATAAAGGATTAACATTGATAATTATAGTCAGGTGTGATAAATTCCAATGTCACTGCAAATAGCAACATTGCTATTTATATTTGAGTGTTTCCTTTATATTGTATGGAAGAATTCTACTCACTGAAATGAGGAATGAAAAACTATACTTGACTTTAAAATAGCTCAGAAAACCAGGATATATCATGAAATATACAAAGTTCAATGGTATGTCCCAAACAGATCTCCTTTTCTTTTTTTATTTATTTATTACATACACAGTATTCTGCTTGCATGTATGTCTGCCTGCCAGAAGAGGGAACCATTATAGATGGTTGTGAGCCACCATGTGGTTGCTGGAATTTGAACTCAGGACCTTCAGAAGAGCAAGCAGTGCTCTTAACCGCTGAGCCATCTCTCCAGCGCCCAGATCTCCTTTTCATACACACTGCACCCAGTTTACCTTCATGGAACAAAGCAGAGGACAGTTTTTAACAGAGTCTATAATTTTTCATTTAGCAATGATAGCAAGAAACTTTTTATTGTTTTTGAATACTGATCCCATGGGAAGCACTACTCAGAAAACCTCTTGGCACCACTTCCCTGTGAGCCCATTGCTACTGCAGGTGAAAAGGTAATTGCAGGTGTGACAGGAGGTGAGGTCACAGAATCAATACCCATATCTCAGGCACTGGCTTCCTCCCCATAGCTCACCTCCTGGTCACAGAGATCGTGGCACTGAGATCAGCATTCTGTCAAGTAGAAGAACATTAGGATTGCTTCCAACTGCAGTCCTTGAAACAGAGTTCAGAGTACATGGACATCACAACATTCAAGGCACGTGACCACTACAAAAACCGAGTCAGTTTGTAACTTGTGGAATGAAAATAACTTTTTATTCTTTATACTAAGTTTGATTATGGTACTATTGATATTCATTTGAATACAGTAAAAATAATGAATGATAAAACTTGGTATATCAGTTGTTTTCATAGATATGAAAGCTCAAATACATTATTGTTTTTCTTCTTTAAAAATGCAGTGCTTTAAAAAAAGGCTGCTGCTGGTTACTTAGTTCCAAAGCAGTGGGCACATGTATTCTGTCCTACAGAACTGTTTAAGGAATCTAAGGGAACGCTCCATATCTGAATAAATCATCGTGTCTAGTGCTTGAGTGCTGAGTTCTCAGCACACAGGGACACAGGATTTCTATCTACAATGAAAGACCTGCCTTCTGAGCTCATTTTGAGGCTGATTCCGTCTTAAGATATCTTCATGTTAAAGTAAGCATTGGTATAATGCACTCTCAACATCATCTTTACTTGTGGGTAAACATCTCCTTCTTAGCTGTTTAATGAGTTGTCTCCCTTTTGTCATGAAAACATCCATCTGTTATTCAGTTAGAGGATGCTTGAGTCCAGGGGCACATTTGAGTTTCTCTTTATGCTGCACAGTAAAGCCATGAATCTAAAACAATTATAGAAAGTTAACCTTGGTTTTATATACAGAGATTAACTACTTCAGTTTTATAATAGCAAAATACTTCTTGCCAACACAGTGCATTATGCACATGTGACTACCACAGAAGTGCTATTTACAAATCAAACTGCATTGCCAAAACAACAACAACAAAAACAAGGTACCTGTTCTGCTATCAATCAGCACTTCAGAGTTTCATCCAATTAATGGCAATGTTGTGCATACTTCCCATGTTTAATATCGGGTTGTTTCTTCTTTGTGGTAATTCAGCACTATTACTTAATTTGCATTGCTTTAAGTTTTATATTACTTGTGATTGCAACATAATAAGTAAGTCATTAGGTGCCCATGTTCTATTTGGACAATTTTTAATTAATACCAATTACGTGTCATGCGGCAGGTTCCAGCTCAGTCTTCTTCATTCTGGTAAGATACACTTATATTTGATAAATATAAATTTTACATTCAAATATGAACATTCTTATTATTGAAATTGTTCATCACTGTGTTACAACCATGTGTATAATTGTATAAAAATTAATCACAATGATATGCTCTTTGCTTTTAAAACAGATCTGAAGTGTTTTACAGATATTGGTTTATTACTATAATTTCAGCACCTTCATTCAGTTGGTAAAAAGTCATAACTTCACCATTAATTAAGTAGAAATTTACAAATATTTGATGGATATGGATTTGATTCTTTCCCTTCCCTTTTTTATACAGTCAACAGTGCTTGTCTTCACATTGAACCTAGAGGTAAAGATGCATGCAGCTTTCACAGCAGTCTCTAAAGTTGTGAAACAGTGTTTGAACCAAAATCTTATCCTAAGTTATAGAAGAACCCTAAGTGACTAACTATAGATTGGAAGATTGGATTCACGCAGTTCATGCAGCCTGTACCTAACCTTTCCCTCATGATCAATAAACAACAACCAACAGCATGGGAGTTGGTGAAGTGACCATAGGAGTGATCGTTTTATCAGAGATTCTGGTTGGTGTCCTGGGCAACTCCCTCTTAGTCTACCATCATCTGCCATTTTACTTCATGGTGAGCAGGATAAGGTTCACAGAATGGATTCTACAGCATTTGATTGTAGCCAACTTCTTAACACTCATGTGTAAAGGAGTTCCTGAAACACTGTCAGCTTTTGGTTTGAAAGACTTCCTTGATGATTTTGGGTGCAAGCTTCTTTTCTATCTTCACAGAATAGGGAGGGGTGTGTCCATCAGCAGCACCAGCTTCCTGGGCATGTTTCAGGCCATCACCATCAGCCCTAAGTGTCTCAGATGGACAAAGGTTAAAGTCAAGTCCCCAAGTTTCATTGCTTCTTGTGTGTACCTGAGCTGGATCCTGTCCTTCATAGCAAACATTGGTATTCCTATGAACATGACTGCAAGATGGAGTCAAAGAAACATGACACGTCTAAAAGAGTATGGATATTGCTCTGCTATTTATGTTGACAAAACTAGTGACATCCTCTATGGAGTGTTACTCGCAGGTCCTGATGTCTTGTTCATGGGCCTGATGCTGTGGTCCAGCAGTTCCATGGTTTACATCCTCTACAGACATAAGCAGAGAACGAGATATATTCATAGGAGCCAATTTTCCCTCAGATCCTCCCCCGAGACCAAAGCCACAAGGACCATTCTGCTCTTGGTGAGCACCTTTGTCTGCTTTTACACAATTTCTTCCCTCTTGCAGACTAGATTGGCTCTTTATGATCCAGACTGGCTCCTGGTGAAAATGGCTACAATTGTCTCTGGATGTTTCCCAACTGTGAGTCCCTTTCTCCTGATGAACCATGACTCCAATGAAAACCCATTCTGCTTTGCTTGTGCAAGGAATAAACAGTAGCCATGTGAGCAACAAGTACATTGTTTCTAATTAATGTTCAATTGTGTCTAATCTCTGGAATACATGCAGTGTATACAGTGAAAAACTTACACCATAAAAGCCAGGAGCAGATACACAAACATCTTTACTGTTGTATTGCATGCAATTTGCATATTTCATGATATTTTACCAAGAATGACTATTAATTCTTTGAGATAAGTTCTAGATTTATCATTCTGTCTAAACAATGATAATCTGACTTGTATAGAAAAATGTACTTGATATTTATTTTTGTTGATAAAGCAGTTAAAAATTCACCAATTCTGTATGTATTTACTTATTTACCTACTTTCCTACTGCTGGAAAGAAATTAAGTAAATCAATGGGAATATTTTGATTTCCCCTCTGCTCATGAACAGAGAGTGCTTATAAGGTTGCTAGTATTTGCCTTCTAAAGAAGAGTCACTTGTGTTAAAAAATAATGGAAATATATTAAGAACAATTAGCCAATGAGTAGTTACTCATATTAATACAATAATCGACCTAATAAGAATAAAATTTCAAGAGATTCATGTTCTTGTAGTCCCCTGTTTTATCATACGATTACTTCTGTGTTCAATTCATCTATAGAAGTAATTTTGATAATACTATATTTTATCTGTGTTATGTTGTGGTATATATTACATAATTCTTAAATTTCAACTTTGAAAGTTTGGAGTAATTTTGAAAAGTAAACACACTTAAACTTTTTACACTTTTGTAAAAAAATTATCCATCAGTCTTGACAAGTAAAGGACAGGATGCTCAAATATTTACCATCCTTGAGTGACTGTAATATTTAATGGGTGTGTTTTTCAAAAAGTTCAAGTACAGAACTTACTGAGATTTCCAACTCTGTGCACAAATCTCCAAACACTGATGGCAGAAGTGACACTGAACACTGCCACCCTCACACAGATGCTTTTTCACATCTCACGTCACAGGGCTGTGTGTGCAGGCACAGCATGTTCATCTTGATACTTTCCAAGCTACAACTAGTCAACTACTCATGAATGAATAAGGCATAGAAGAAGTAAGAGACCCTCCTCCTTCTGCTTTTATAAACAAGCACAATTTCTATTTTCATTCTCAATACTTATACCCACACATATACATTGCTCTCATCCCTTCATCAAATGACCTTCTCATTGAAGTAGATAGGAACCACTGAAGAATCTCATGGTTGGTTGAGGAATAGAAAACAGCTGATCATGGGATACAATTACCCAATTAAAGTAGGTGCACCCCAGGCCCACACCAAAGACTCAGGAATATCACAGACAAAGGGATAGACTGATAAAAGCTAGGAAAACAGGATGTTTGCTGTGAGACAATAATATACATGTATGTATATATACACATATGTGTGTATGTGTGTGTACCCCCCATATATATATACATATGTATATACATATAGGTACATATGTATATACATAGATATATATACATATATATACATACACACACACAGGATTTGCTGCCTTTGAGAGAGTGGGAACGAAAAGCTGGCAACTGAAAAGGCAGAGTGACTTATACAGAGGTGCTAAGTGGCAGAATTTTCCTAGGGAGAATTTTTTCTGCTCAGGCATTGATTAGTTTTCCTGCTCAGGAATTGGTTGATTTAATTAGCCAGGGGCAAAGTTGGCTCTGGTTTCAGCGCCAACCTGTGTTGCTTTCACTGGTGTTTTTCACCTTTTTTTGCTGTATTTTCAGGGCTGAGGTGTGTTTTTTTCACTGGCTCTGGTTCTATGGCCAAAATGTGTTTATTTGTCTCTGGTTTCAGATTCAGAGTGTTTCTTTGGTTCTGGCTTCAGAGCTAAAGTAGTTCTTTCACTGGCTTGGGTTTCAGTTCCAGGGTGAATGTCTTTGGCTGACCCTTTTACCCAGCAAAAAACGTACAGATCACGACAGCCTGCCTGTGATGCTCATCAGATCAGTGTTGACATCCAGGCCCATGCTGTTGTCATATCTGAGTCAGTGTACTCACTACAGACAGGGTCTGTGTTGAGGTCTGTGGCTCCTGTTACCATCAGACACTGTGCAACTGCCTAAGGTATGAACTGCCACCTGGGACTGTGTTGGAGACCAGGAACCACACTGCTGCTGGACCCAGGCTGATCTGAGAGGCTTGTGCTCCCACCCAAGGCCATGGTGACATCTGGACCCAACCTACTGCTGAGGCCCATGTCTGAGTCCATGGTTCTGAGGAAGCTTGGGCCTCCTTTGATATCTGTAGTCTGCATTACCTCAGGTGCCCGTGCAAGCATTTAACAAATGTTTTGAAACATTTGATAAAGTAGGAGAGCCATAATAGGCAGGTCCCATCCCTCACTGTGCTGGGGACAGCTGTCCCTCACTGGAGAGTTGTCCCTGCCCCTCACCAGCCCTGAGAAAATGGAACCCAATGACACCAATATAAGAAGACTGCCTCACGCTCAACATGAGTGTAGTAGTGCTCGTTCAACCCCTAACCTGAAGTGATGATCCCAGTGGCCCACTCAGAACAATTCAGCTATTACACAGACACACATCTAGGGCTTTGAGTGGACAGTCTCCAACATCTACCATATCTGTGACCTGCTGTAGTGCATGAAGGATCTGGTCCTATGGAACAATAGCCACAGGACCTCCATGACTGGGGGCAACTGCAAGATATCCAAGAAGAGTTCAGTGAGGATCCAGTATCTGTGGTTTACTGGAGTCCAGAGACCTTGAACCTGATCAACAACACATCATACAATGTAATGAACATTTGCAAGTAAGGCTGAGTGGACAGAAGTGTATACTGAGTGACATACAGCCGCTCCCACTGCCACCAAGACGAATGAAGACGCAAAGGAAAAGTGGGAAAGAGAGGAGCGAAGGGAAGGGTTTTTTGTTTGTTTGTCTGATTTTATTGTTTGCTTGGGATTGTTTATTGTTTTTTGTTTATTTGTTTGCTACATGTATGCATATTTTCAGGGTTGATCATTTTTATTGGTGTGCTCTTCTCTGAGGGAAAAAAATTGCCCCATTCTTAATATTTCTTAGTTGTCTGTAGTTCTTTGTAGAGTTCAGATTTCATGGGCTCGCATATTATTATGTCTATTGTTGTCATCCTCATTCAGCTCCTGTTTGGTCATTCATGTTGGTGATACTTTATTAGTGTAGCTTCTGTCATTATGAAGAGATAATCTCACAGCCAGATCCCTGATCCTCTAGCTCTTAAATTTTTTTCTGCCTCTTCACAAAAAGTTTTACTCAATTCAGTTGTTTGTCAGCACTCAGGTATGACATGTGAAACCGATAATATATTAGCCGTAGCCTACAGATGGTGGCAACTGTTTCTTCTGAAATTTCAACACAACATGTGATTGCTGAATAATACAGGCAATAGAAGAAACATAACTTATGTCTCTACGGTGAGGTGTAATAGGTCATCACACGGGCATCCTATAAGTGTAAACACATAGAATGTTCATGTGGCAAACTCATTATTTATTTTATGCCACACAATAATCTTACTTCTCTTTATACATCTGATTATCCAATCATTATTGATAATGAAATGCAACAATTATTTGTAAGCTAATTCTAATTTCTGAGTGAAAATTTGGAAAATGGGAAGGATTTGTTTGGCAAGCAATGACAATATACACAGTCTAAATATGCAACCGATTCTTTTGAGGAACTCACAGGACCAGCTATGCAGAAAGCTGGTGCATGAATATCCTTTGTCAGCCATCACCCAGTTTCAGGTGCCCAATTGTCCTTGCACCGAACAGATATGTAACCTCTATCTGCTGAATAGAGTGCACACAAAGAAGAGTAAAGCCAGACTTAGAGATTGTTAGCAATGATGTAGCAGAGTTTATATCAGACGTTTCTTATAAACTTATAATTTCTAGAAGCCAGTAAAGATGCTTGAAAATATTCCAAGTTGCTCTATTGTGGATAGAAAAATACTGAATTTCATTTGATTTGATACCTGAAATCCCAGACTTATGACAACAGGAACTGACAGCTTGGCAGCCAGTAAGGTGTGAATGAACTTCTTATTAACAGATAGCAATTGGAGTCTTAGGCAATAACTCTATCCTCTGTCATTTTCCCCAGCCTTGTTGTATGAGGTTCAGGCTTAAAACCACTCATCTGGCACAGAGCACTTGAACATAGACAACATCTTAACTGTCCGGTGTATAGGAGTGTCCCCAAGACAATGGGAGCATAGGTATGGAAAGAGAATGTCACCAATTTTATATGGAAACTCACTTGCTAACTACACAGAATGGGCAGGGTTGTGCCTGTTAGCAGTATCTGCCTCCTGAGTAACTTCTAAATCATCAGCTTCAAACCCAGTTATTGCCTGGTCAGTAGATACATACCTAAATAAATAAATACATAAATAAATAAATAAAGCCATAGTTCACAGGGACATTGGCACCTCCATAAATGGAATGTGGATCCTGTACCTACTTTTAAACTGTTTGCCTTGTGGATTTTATGAGTAATAGAATTAATAAAAATATGACAGACCTCTTGGTTTATACAGAAATAGTAAACCATTGCATACAGTATTCCTTTCAGTATGTGATTTCATATATCATGGTCTTGGCCAGCATCTCCGTGGTTTTCATCATACTCAGGCACAAGCAGAGGATGCAACACATTCCCAGTTCCAGTATCTTCCCCAGATCCTCCCTTTGTACAGAGACTCCTTATGAACACCTGTGTCTACTTGACCATCTGTTTCATTCTTTTCATTCACCCCAGCTGGTTTCTAGTGGCTGTGTCTGAATGTTCTCCACCTGACAGGCCTTTCCTCTTCATGAGCTGTGAGGCTAGTGAATCCAGCTTCTGCCCTCTCTGCATAAGAACTGGGGAAAAAGCCCAATCTCATGACCAACGTGTGTGTTAAAACTTCTGATTCCATAGCCAAACCTATACAATTGTATGTGTAGTATAACTGGCTGTATCTTACAGAAATGAGTGGCATTAAAAGAAACTGTATATTGTAAATATGTGGATGTGTTGTTTATGTAAATGATTATGTGAGCATGTGTTTACTAATTACCACTTGTTATCCACCTGACAAAGTATGTGAAGTTGTATAGACCATAGGTAAACTTGCAAAAATGATTATAATTCAGTTGAAAAAGCCTATTTTATATTTTAAAATATTGTGAATTACATAAATGGCAAAACGCTTGAATGTCAGTTTTATTTACTTTACATTTTGACATTTCAATGTATTATTAATGTATAAAGTAAAATATTTTATTTATATTTGTTTAAATTGTATTTCTTTTTAAAATTTCACTTCTTTATTCTTTGGGAATTTCATATCATGCACCACAATTCTGCTCATCTCCTAGTCCCCCCATATCTCTCTTCATGCCTGTAGCACCCTCCTAAAACAGAACAAAACCAAACAAAGCAAGCAAGCAAACAAACAAAAATAAGACCAAGACGAACCCAACTAGCATGGAGTATATACGAGTATTTTAACAAAAGGTATTTATGTGAATGAGCACATGACTTTCATGGTTCAAATTCCCTCTACTCAATCTCCTATCCTATAGGTTCCCTTTTTGCCCTAAGCAATATTCTCATTTCTTCATGGTCTGTGTGTGTTTCTCTGTGTGTTCCTCTGTCTCCCTTCTCCCTTTCTTTCTGCATGATTTTATATAAATATATGGATTTCATGAATTAAACACAAGGGGATACCTATAAAATGTGTCTGTGGAATTCACTTAATTTTGTAAATATTGTCTTCATTTGCATTCACTTTTCTGAGTATGATATAATGTTGTTTTCATTTATTTATGAGAATAACTTATGCTGTGAGTGAATTAACATCAATCATTCCTCTCTTGATGTTCATCTAATTTGGTTTCTTCAATTGGGTATTATGAAAATATTCAATAAAAAGTGGACATACAAGCAGCTCAGTGGTATATGGACTTAGAGTATTTTACGCAGGAAGGTAAAACTTGGTCATGTGCTAGGTATGTTGTTTGCTTTTGAGTATCAGTCACATTTATTTCCACAATGGACTGGATATTTGTTACATCCTCCAGCAGGGTGTAAGTTTCCTTTCTGCCACTTTTTTCCTGCCTTAGTTGCCGTTTGTCCCCTTAGCTATGTACATTTCAACTTGGGAGGAGATTAAATATAATTTTAATTTTAATTACTCTAGTGGATTGTAAAATCGAATTATTTTTCATATGTTCATTAGCCATTGTAAGGTCATCTATTGGGAACTGTTTGTATATTTCATTATTATATTTACTGTTTGGGTTTCTTGATCTAATATATTTGTAGACATTAACACTCTTAGATGTAGCTAACAGATATTTGCTGAATTCCTACAATTCATCTCTTTACTGTGGCATATATTTTCCTTTAAAAGTACTGCTTATTATTATGTTAGTAATTTTGCAATTACATGCATGTCAAAAAGTGAATTGACATACATAGCTCGATTATAGACAGCAGATAGACCATATTATATCCCCATTCTAAAAGTGAGAACCCCTGACCTCTAGCAAACAGAGCAGATAACAACTTCTCTGAACTCCACACTATTTCCTTAAAAAGTGACATCAGAAACTTGTAATGTTTCTTTGCTAATGGTCACCAGGGGAGACTTAGTTCACGGAAAAGTGGATGTTCAAGCCTGCAACACCCACTGCTACAACAGAAATAATAATTGCAGGTCTGAGGGGAGGTGAGGTCACACACCACAGACACCGATATCAGGCACTGGCTGCCTCCCTCCAGCTGATCTCCTCTTGATGTTTGTGGATATGTCACCTAGATCAGCATCCCAGAGAAAGAAGGGATGCTGAGAGTGTAATAGACTGAAGCCTGACAGCAGAGATGAGAAGACTTGGTAAGTGATCATAGGAGTGATGAGAACACAAGACTGAACCTGGAAGGATGACAAAGCCACAGAGGATAAAGAGAAAATCTTCAGGAACAACTCAGAGAGAACAGAAAGGTGGGTCCCACATGCACTGCATCCCAACTCTAACAACCCATTCCTCTCTGTCAGTGTCTGCTATGGTCTGTCACACTGGGAAAGAAGTCGGGTGCTTACAGGATCACCTGATGGCTCTCTGAAAGGAAATAGAGTCTGTTTTATGAGGAGATTTCTCTAGGGCACCTGATAAAGAAAGTACTTTGTGGTCAATGACTCTTAATAGCTTTATGAGAAATGTATAAATAGGACATTCAGGTATTTTTTAGCTTTTATTCACAGTGGTTACTATGGGCAGTGACAGACTTGGTAACAAGCTCTGCATGGATGATTCCTTCACAGGGTATTTGTGTGGAAGATCTGAACATTGCACATGTGGATATGTACAGATTTGGCTATGAAATGTTTGTAAGTAACTTTCATAAAGTAAAACAGGTTAAGATGAGTCCTCATTACATTAATTGACAAAAATAATAAATTTTGTTCCATTTAATAAGTAGAATATATTTTTAGGATTTCTAAGGATATATCTACTTATACTCATGCATGTAATAAGGAGAGAAATACATTCCACAGAATAATGTAATCCTACCTGGAAATGTGTGTAAATGAAGGTCATTCACAAAAATTTTCCCTGCCCCAGAGTGGGGTGTGCAATAAATGGAAACAGTATTCATAACTATTTGAAAGAACCGAAATTTAAAAATTACCAGTGTTTTTCCTGTGGATGTAACAAGAGGCATTTAAATGAAAGCAGTTATAAGTATTATTTCTTTATGCCCTCAAACAATGAGATTATTTTTTCACATGTTTGAAAACATTACCATCAAATATAGAGTTAATTATGCTTGCATAAGACATTGAAAGTGGGAAGATTGACTACATGGATGGGTTCTATGAAATATCAGGCAATCACTCCTATATTCTCTCTGAACGTAAACTGTTCACAACATTATTGTTTATTAACATATTAATTACACTTTCACCTATGTCAATGTTTGAAGTTGTCACATTTCACATTGCATGTAACATTTACAGGCCTCATTTATAAAACTTTTATGCCTCTAGTCCCCAAATCACTTCATTTGTGTGATATTAAATTAATAATTTTGATGTCATCTTACCATATTTTACATGGATTCATGTTTATTTTCCAAAGAGAAATGCATGCCATTTGAGTGATGGCCAGCTGCTTAGATGGGTCATGGCCATGTTTCAGACATGAGCCAGATCATTGGAGATACATTGCGCCTGTCTTGTTAAGGAGATGCTGTGGATGTTTTGCTCATTCTGCAGAATATGAACCTACAAATATTGGGGCACTTTGTGCCCCCGTTCAATTGCCCTCACATGTGCGATTCACGTTGAAGTGGATATAGCTTGTGGACTGATTCAGGATAGGAAATATCAGCATCATGCACCCTGTGACACAGTGCATGTGGCTCCAGCCTCATCTTTTCATGCAGGGTCCTCAGTTTGAGAGCAGAACCTGAGAGCATGACAGCCAGTGAGCTGTCTATAGGAGTGATCTTCTTGTCTCTGACTGTGATTGGACTACTGGGGAATTTCTTGCTCCTCTACCACTACCTGTTTCTTTACCTAACTAGGAAAAGACTAAAGTCTACAGACTGGTTTCTGACGCACTTGGTTGCAGCCAGCATCTTAACTGTGCTATGTAAAGGAGTGCCTCACACAATGGCAGTTTTTGGACTGAGGGACTTCCTCGATGACACTGGATGCAAATTGATTTTCGCCTTTCACAGATTAGGTCGGGGTTTGTGTATTGGCTGCACCTCCTCCCTTAGTGTCTTCCAGGCCATCATCATCAGTCCCTGGGACTCCAGGTATTCAGAGCTGAAAATAAAAACACACAAGTACAGCTGTTATGTTCTGTACATAAACTGGGTAATCCATTTCCTTATAAGCTCTGTAAATCTTGTGCACATGAGGGCAAAATATGGAAATGAAAGCACAGCAAACCTGAAATCGTATCTCTACTGCTATTCTGTCCGTCATGACCAAACCAGTGACATCCTGTATGCAGCATTGCTGTCAGCTCCTGACATTCTTTTTCTGGAGCTCATGCTATGGGCCAGTGGCTCCATGGTTCTCACCCTCTACAGGCACAAGCAAAGGATGCAACACATGTCCAAGACTAATATCTCCTCCAGATCCTCCCCTGAGTCCAGAGCCACTAAAACCATCCTTCTCCTGGTCAGTACTTTTGTCTCCTTCTATACAATCTCTTCCCTATGTCAACTCTTTGGAGCTATTATGAATAAACCAAGCTGGTCAGTGCTGCATATGACTGCAATGGCCTCTCTGTTTTTCCCCACTGTTTGTCCTTTTCTCTTGATGAGCCGTGACTGTCAGGTATCCAGCCACTGCCTGTCCTTGAAAATGAGTAGACATTTCCCTAAAGCATCTAATCAAGAGCTGAACTGAAAGCTGCTGTCCATTTCTTACTCCGTTACTGAGTCATTCTGATATAATTGATGAAACTTCCTATCTCTGTGAATGTAGGTGTGTTCATGCCTTGTGTATGCACACGCATGAGTGCAAACACACACACACACATCATTTTGTTCATTATGCATCAAGGTATATATTTAGATAATGGTGTGACATAGTTTAATTGCAAAGGATATTGAAAATTAGGTAAACGTTAGGTTACAGATTAAAGTAATTTTAAAACAGCACAATATTCTTTTTGCGCTGTGCTTTCTGGATTTGAAGTAGTTGACCCTGAAATAAAACAATCCAACTATTTTCCCGGCTCTGCTGCATTCTATGCTGCTCTTCATAGTTGTAAAGTGGAAGGTAAAGATTCACCCTGCATTTACTGTTCCCCTTGTGACTGTGACATTTTATCTTGCCTCCCTTATCACATCCACAGGGTACCTTTAACACTTTTGAATGTACAAGTGGCCACCCAAGGCTCAAAAAAAATTTTCCACTCTGAATACAGCTCTGCATTCATTGCCCAAATGGAAACTAATGTAATTAGGCTCAAGTCTGCCTCTTGAGTCCCCTCCTGAATCACTCGTAATTGGGAGAAAAGGGAAAATCAATGCACAGACACCCTGAACCATTTTCTTTTTTATAAATTTTTCTTTAAATTAAAAACAATCTTATTTTACATACCAATCCCAGTTCCTTCTCCCTCCTGTTCTCCCATGCTCCTCATCAGCCCCCATCCTACACTCCATCCACTCCTGAGGGAGGTTGAGGCCTCCCATGGCAGATCATCAAAAGATCATCATTTGGGATAGTGCCTAGGCTTTCCACTGTGTATCTAGGCTGAGAGAGTATCCCTCCATAGGTAATGGGCTCCCAAAATCCATTCGTACGCTAGGGATAAATACTTGTTCCACTGCCAAGAGGCCCCATATTCGGGGGCATAGTTTGGTCCTATGCTGGTTCCCCAACTGTCAGATTGGGGTCTGTGAGCTCCCACTTGCTCCCATCAGCTGTTTCCATGGGTTTCTCCAACACGGTCTTGACCCCTTTGTTCATCAGTCCTCCATCTCTACAACTGGATTCCAGGAGTTCGGCTCAGTGTTTAGCTGTGGGTCCCTGGTTCTGCCAACATCAGCTATTGGGTGAAGGCTCATGTTTGTCTTTCTGTGTCTGGGTTACCTCACTAAATATGGTTTATTCTAGTTCTATCCATTTGCCAGCAAATTTCAAGATTTCAATGTTTTTTTTCTGCTGAGTAGTACTCCATTGTGTAAATGTACCACATTTTCTCTATCCACTGTTGAGGGGCATCTAGGTTGCTTCCAGGTTCTGGCTCTTACAAATAATGCTGCCATGAACATAGTGGAACAGTTGTCCTTGTCGTACGAATGCACATCTTTTGGTATATGCTTGCTCATAGCTCCTCTCTCTCTGCCTCTGGGTTCCTTGGGTTCAGTTCAGTGTTTAACTGTGTTTGCCTCTGCTTCCATTAGTCACTGGATGAAGGCTCCAGGATGGTTATAGATATCAAGTTCATTATCAGGAATGGACATTCGGTGTGGTCTCTACACTATTGCTTAGCTTGCCAATTGGTGTCATCCCTTTAGATCACTAGGGGTCACAATGGTGCCTGATCTGTCTTCTAACCTATGATTCCCTCTTCCCCCTATCCTACCCCCCTCCAGTCAACCTTCCTGTTCCCCCATGACCTACTCTCTCTTCCTCTTCTCCCCTTCTCTATTTCCCAGCTCCCCCTCCCCCCCACTCCTCGCCGTGTTCCTCATTTGTTCAGAGGATCTTGCCTCATTTCTCTTCTCTTGGGTACCATGTATATCTTTTAGGTTCTTTCCTGTTTCCCAGACTCTCTGTCAGTGGAAGTGCAGACTGGCACTCTCCTGATCCATGTTTAAAATCCATATATGAGTGAGTACATACCATGTTTGTCTTTTTGTGACTGGGTTACCTATGTAAAACAATCTATTTAAAATTAAAATAAAAAAGAAAGAAAGAAAAATAAAAAAGAGTGAAATTGCTGGATCTTGAGACAGACTGATTCCCATTTCCCTGAGAACCCACCAAACTGATTTCCAAAGTGGCTGTACAAGTTTGCACTCCCAGCAACAATGGAGGAGTGTTCCCCTTTCTCGACATCCTCTCCAGCATAAACTGTCATTGGTGTTTTTGATTTTAGTCATTCTGACAGGTGTTAGATTGTATCTTAGAGTTGTTTTGATATGGATTTCCCTGATAGCTAAGAATGTTGAACACTTTCTTACCTGTCTATCAGGCATTCTGGGAAACAGGAAAGAACCTAAAAGATGTGCATATATGCATAGTACCCAAGAGAAGAGGATGGAAACAAGATCCCCTGAATGGACGGGGAACACGGCGAGGGGTGGGGGGGAGTGGGACCTGGGAAGAAGAGAGGGGGTGAAGAGGAAGAGAGTTGTCATGGGGGAACAGGAAGTTGAGGGGTGGGGGTAGAATAGGGGGAAGAGGGAATCATAGGATCAAATACAGATCAGGCAACAGAGCGACCTCAAGTGATCTAAAGGGATAACACCAATTGGCAAGCTAAGCAATAGTGGAGAGACCACCTCGAATGCCCATTCCTGATAATGAACTTGATGTCTATAACCATCTGGGAGCCTTCATCCTGTGACTGATGGAAGCAGAGGCAAACACACAATTAATCACTGAACTGAACCCAAGGAACCCAGTGACAGAGAGAGAGGAGTGATGAGCAAATTGGCAAAGAATGGGCTGGCAAAACCAGCAGAGACAGCTGATCTGAACAGGGGAGAGCTCTTGGACCCCAGACTGACAGTGGGGAGGCCAGCATGGGACTGATCTGGACCCCCCAAATGTGAGTGTCAGCGAGAAGGCCTGGGCAACCTATGGGGCCCTGAGCTGTGGATCAGTGTCTATCCCTGGTATACAAACTGTCTTCGTGTGCCTATAGCACAAAGAGGGATGCTCTCTCAGCCTGGACTCTTAGGGGAGTGCCTGGACCCTACCCAGAGTAAAATGACAGACTCTAGATATCCCCTATGTGGAAGGATTTGGCAATAGGGTGGGAGGGTGGGGGGGAAGGGTAGTGCGGGAGGAGGGGAGGGAGAGGGAACTGGGATTGACATGTAAAACAAGCTATTTAAAATTAAAATAAAAAATGATAAAAAAAAGAATTCTCTATTTGTTTCTGTACCCCACTTTTAATTGGATTAATTGGTATTTGGTGACTAGCTTCTTGAGTTCTTTTATTTTGGAGATCTGTCCTCTGTCAGACGTAGGGTTGGTGAAGATCTTTCTCATTCTGTGGGCTGCCATTTTATCTTATTGACTGTGTGCTTTGCCTTACAGAAGCTTCTCATTTTCAGGAGGTTCCATTTATTAATTGTCAATCTCCGTGTCTGTGCTACTGGTGTTATGTTCAGGAAACAGTCTCCTGTACCAGTTCATTCAAAGGTACCTCCCACTTTCTCGTCTAAGAGCTTCTGAACCCATTTTCATTTCACATACAGGATGTGTTTCTGTGTGAATGACATGTATATTTGACATTTACTACTTCTTGTGCTTGATTTATTTACTTACAGATTTTTGCACATGGGTAATAGAAATCACCTCTTTTAATATTAAAGAATCAACATTGAATCTGCTCTCTTCAGTGCTGGAGAAATGAATCAGCAACTACTCTCACAGAGCCTAGAGTTAAAAGTCTCCAGCCACTAGATCAATGCAACTCCAGATCCAGGGATGTCATGTCCTCTTCTGGAATCCCCAGGCACTGCACACATGCGTACAAAATTTAATGACAATAAAAATAAATCTCAAAAGAACTTTGCTTCTTTGGTCCACATGCACTGTGCTTTAGACCCATTTTTTGGTCTCACCAGACACCACATGTTGGAGCCTTTGTCCCCTCTAGGATGAGGTTACACTGGAGGAAACATAACATGTTCCGGCTCTGTCCTTCCACATGGGTTCTTCTGAACCACTTTCACAATGACAGTGATTGCAACTCAGTATAACTATGCAGATTCACCAGCATCTTGGTCTACGTTAGGGACCTTTGATATAAATAATTTTCCTTTGCTCATGGATTACCCAGGATTGTGCTATTGTTTCTGGAGAGAAAGAAAGGCTAAATCAATATGCTTATTTTTCAACACAAAGTACTGGGTATGGGACCTGACATTTTGGTTTTCCAAAATGTTCTGGGGATAGCTAAGTAAACACTTTCTATGTGAAAAATGAATGCTCATACTTGATGGTTCACAAGTATTTTTGTCTTAGCTTCCACATATATATGAACACTTTCCACAAATTATTTTCACAGTCCCTACTCAGTAAATGCTATTCTGTTTCAGCAAAATCTATCATTCCTAAATTTTGATTGGTTACAAATACATTTGCATTATATTACCTCTGCCTAGTTTTCCTAAAGTTCCCTCCCAACTACCAAGAGAGAGAGAGAGAAATAGGCTTTCCCAGGAGGGAATCCCTAACTGATTTTATAATAGCTGTTTGTAAGCCTTGAAATGACATACATACAAGTAACATTAAATTGACTAAATAAGTTTTACTTTTTATAAAAGCATGTGGGGTGTAATAATAAAGAAAAACAGAACATGAATTTGAGAGGGATCAAGTCAGTAGTAAAGGGAATGCATTGTAGAAAGAAAGAGATTGGGGTAATTTATAGTTATATTTTAATTAAAATAAAAAATATGTTATACACAAATATATATATGAATAATGCTCACAGTTAATACCTTGCATCTGTCATTAGCAACTGAATCCTTTCCTTAGATGAAATTTTACAATCCAGTATATTAGGAAAGTATAGTGTCTATCTTATTCCTGAAACCTGTCATTGACTCACTCAGATTGCCATCCCTCATACTCTAAGCTGAGTTTCTAGTCTCTTGCTTTTTCTATCTATTTTTACCTGTCAACCATACCCATGTCACAGCACCACACAATTG